CTGGGGAGCTCCAGCACCCAGATACTACAGGTGAGAGGGATACACTTTGATGGTTGCACCCCCTGGGGAGCTCCAGCACCCAGATACTACAGGTGAGAGGGATACACTATGATGGTTGCACCCCCTGGGGAGCTCCAGCACCCAGATACTACAGGTGAGAGGGATACACTTTGATGGTTGCACCCCCTGGGGAGCTCCAGCACCCAGATACTACAGGTGAGAGGGATACACTTTGATGGTTGCACCCCCTGGGGAGCTCCAGCACCCATATACTACAGTTGAGAGGGATACACTATGATGGTTGCACCCTCTGGGGAGCTCCAGCACCCAGATACTACAGTTGAGAGGGATACACTATGATGGTTGCACCCCCTGGGGAGCTCCAGCACCCATATACTACAGTTGAGAGGGATACACTATGATGGTTGCACCCCCTGGGGAGCTCCAGCACCCAGATACTACAGGTGAGAGGGATACACTATGATGGTTGCACCCCCTGGGGAGCTCCAGCACCCAGATACTACAGGTGAGAGGGATACACTATGATGGTTGCACCCCCTGGGGAGCTCCAGCACCCAGATACTACAGGTGAGAGGGATACACTATGATGGTTGCACCCCCTGGGGAGCTCCAGCACCCATATACTACAGGTGAGAGGGATACACTTTGATGGTTGCACCCCCTGGGGAGCTACAGCACCCATATACTACAGGTGAGAGGGATACACTTTGATGGTTGCACCTCCTGGGGAGCTCCAGCACCCAGATACTACAGTTGAGAGGGATACACTTTGATGGTTGCACCTCCTGGGGAGCTCCAGCACCCAGATACTACAGTTGAGAGGGATACCCTATGATGGTTGCACCCCCTGGGGAGCTCCAGCACCCAGATACTACAGGTGAGAGGGATACACTATGATGGTTGCACCCCCTGGGGAGCTCCAGCACCCAGATACTACAGGTGAGAGGGATACACTTTGATGGTTGCACCCCCTGGGGAGCTCCAGCACCCAGGAGCCCATGGTTATCTCCCATGGGGGTTCTTAGACAGAAAAGTCTCCAGCAATTTTATCTTGTCTCTGCAGATTTCAGGGCAGAATAGGTCCCCAGTACCCCATGCTTATCTTCCCATAGAGATTCCAGGGCAGAATAGGTCCCCAGTAACCCATGCTTGTCTTCCCATAGAGATTCCAGGGCAGAATAGGTCCCCAGTACCCCATGCTTGTCTCCTGATGGACATTTAGGGCATATAGTTCCCCAGTAACCCATGCTTGTCTTCCCATAGAGATTCCAGGGCAGAATAGGTCCCCAGTACCCCATGCTTGTCTCCTGATGGACATTTAGGGCATATAGTTCCCCAGTAACCCATGCTTGTCTTCCGATAGAGATTCCAGGGCAGAATAGGTCCCCAGTATCCAATGCTTGTCTTCCAATAGAGATTCCAGGGCAGAATAGGTCCCCTGTACCCCATGCTTGTCTCCTGATAGAGATTCCAGGGCAGAATAGGTCCCCAGTACCCCATGCTTGTCTTCCGATAGAGATTTAAGGGCAGAATAGGTCCCCAGTATCCAATGCTTGTCTTCCAATAGAGATTCCAGGGCAGAGTAGGTCCCCTGTACCCCATGCTTGTCTCCTGATAGAGATTCCAGGGCAGAGTAGGTCCCCAGTACCCCATGCTTGTCTCCTGATAGAGATTCCAGGGCAGAGTAGGTCTGCATGAACTATGTGTATACTTGTACTATGTTGAGATGAGATCTACAAGGCAGTGTTTATTTCAGGGAGGCTTGACTCAACTCATCCAGTACTACCACGGCTTTCAGAAGGTCCTCTCGCAGGGACCCTTACGCAACTTCCAGATCCGTAACGAGCTCATCAACATTCACCATGTCATGGTAGAGGTCAAGAAATACAAACCCAATTTCTGATCTTGACTGGCAGAAATTGACTGGAGATACCAGCTACACAACCAGCACCCATGGAAGTGGTGGTCAACTGGTGATGATACTTTACTGTGGGCAGCTTTGTGATAGCTAGAACAGGGCCTGATGACTGTGGCTGTGTTATATATCATTGAGAGAAGTGGCCCACGGCACCACCAGAGTTGCATCCCTTTGGCAGGCCAGGATCCTATGATTTGACCTGATTATGATGTTATGCTTGTCAGTTTCACCACAGGGATAAATGTCTAGGACCTGCATCATTTTGAACTTGGGATAAGCTGACAAACTGTGATGTAACTAAAATATTGTTAAAAGTGATGTTAAAACCAACTAACTCGCTCACTACCATCTAAGAACCTAACATATTTACAATTGTAGCAGGGCATGGAGTCATTCCACAGATGACATCCTTACCTTGTCAGCTTGCTAACGGGGTTAACCTCTTTGGTCATGTGGACAAGGCGTCCGACCTCTACTCAGAAGGTCTGTGGTTCGAATCCCATCACGGGACTCGGAAATTTTATGGCCACTACATTGGCGCCCAACATGGGGCTGAGCACGTTCATATTAAATTTGAGCAAAATAAGCCTCAGTACCCTACTATGCGGCCCGGGACGTGCCTTCTATTGACGGGGGAGTATGTAGCAGGGCGTGGAGTCATCCCACAGATGACATCCTTACCTTGTCATCTTGCTGACGGGGTTAACCTCTTTAGTCATGTGGACAAGGCGCCGGACCTCGGATCAGAAGGTCCGTGGTTCGAATCCCATCACGGGACTCGGAAATTTTATGGCCTCTACACAATCATAGGCACATTTACTATTACATTCCTGTATGACTGACATTCTTGAGTTTCCAAGTATCGGTACATTATGTAATACTTCTATCACAGGTTTATGCAGACAGGGTGAGAGTCATGTATTAAAGCACCATATCAGAAGTGTCAACTCATTTCGTTGTCTAGCACATATATTTGTATTTGAAATACAGAAAGCAGATATACTGGTTTGAATTCTTCAATCTCTTGTACCAAGCAGTTTGAAGCCTCGACAAAGTGATATTTTACTCCGATTACCTCTCACCATCAACATCTGACAAGCCCTATAGGAGGTCACGGCATGTGAGCCTTAAGCGAACTTCCACCACCAAATCAAAATGAAGGATGCATGTTTTTGCTATTATGGTTCAATTTATCCTACAAGCATAGGTAAAACGGACTAAAGTGCTATTCATTCCGACATTTTCACAATGAATTATATCATTTTAGAAAGATGACAATTGACTGGCTAAAAAAAAAACACACATCCTTTTGATTGGGATGTTTGCTCAGTGCTGCTAAGAACTTCCGTAGAAGGGGCGGTGGGGTAGCATAGTGGTTAAAGTGTTCGCTGGTCATGCCGAAGACCCGGTTTCCATTCCCCACAATGTGTGAAGCCTATTTCTGGTGTCCCCAGGCGTGATATTGCTGGAATATTGCTAAAGGCGGCGTAAAACAATACTCACTCTCACTGAAAATTTGTCAGATTGTCACAGAGACGTGTTTCAGATCGGAGTTCAAGTCTGAGACTGTTATGATTTATCAGAAATTCTGCAGCATGAACCTTGCACTCACTTGTAGATGGTGTTGTTAGAATCTACATAAAGTTTGAAAAAGTTAAAGCACACCTGATTCTTTCATATTACAGTTAATAATTACAGTTTATATGAAAGCAATATGAGGAATCGGGTGTCCTATAACTCCTTTTGAACTGTATATTTCAAGGCTTTAGGAAATCATTGGTAGTTGCATTTTTATATTACATGTTTCTGTGGACATATATGCTGTGTAAATATGTAATGTGTATATAGTGTCAGAATGTGTATGTATTAAAATATATCAAAGAATGAATCGGTTTGGTTTTCACAATGGCAGTGTTCAAGCTCAACAATGAAAGTCAAAGGGTCTTGTCATTACTCTGGGGTTTGGGTGGCCCAGTTGTCTTTCCAGAATGCTTCTCGCCACAAGCCTATAGTTTTGAGTTCGAATCCCAGATTCACCCTGATTATGTTTCTATGTTTGTCAGCACCATTCCCATGTTTGTGGGTTCCACGATCATAACTGAAATTAGTTAAAGCGGTTTTCAGCCAAACTAGCCAAACTCACACTCACTTTTCATGACCCTAGTGTTAGAAAATAAGAATTGGAAAAGGGGGATTCCAGGTTAGAACTGAACCCAGCAACCTAGGAGAGGTGACCAAATGGAGCGGCTGGTCAGGCTCTGTGACTTGCTTGATCGAATGTTATCGTTCCTTGACGGCGTGGACTTATGGTATTAATCACTCGATTATTAGCTGGAACTTTGGTGAGTGTGGCGTGAAGCAATAAACACTCACACACACACACACACACACACACACACACCGGCGCCTGTGAAGAGGCTGTATTATTACAGACTGAAGCAGTACACAACTTACATTCCTTCACTGACACTATACAATTACAGACTTCATATTTGATTGATACCTCATTTAATGGACCCCCAAAATTAATATTGAAAGTCAATAAAGTCAATATTGCCCTTTTGGGGGACCGTAAAAACAGGTATTGACCTCATGTTTTATTTAAGAAACTATGACCATGAGTCATTTAGTTCTTAGAGGAGACATCAACATTATGTATGTCGAATACACAACATCATCAAGTTGCAAGCGCATGTCTGAATCTCCAGAATGACATCATGATAGAACAATGTCTTATCGAGAAATAAAACTCGCTTCGTTCTTCATTGTTATTTGCAATTTATTGTCTATCTACCTTATGTTATATGATAAAGACACAAAAGCAATTCATCATTATTATGTTAGCTACAATAACTTCAGGAGGTTCCAACAGACAGAGACATCTGATTGGCTTAGGTTTGGGGAACCACGTCCGGATATTACCCATTCTATTCTTAGTAACTCAAGTCAATACTGTGAAGAATCAGACCTGACTTGAGTCAATACGTTTCTAGGTCAATGAATATGGCGGAAATCTTTGCATTATATAATAATATATAATACAAACAAAACAAAACAGTGATACCATTTAATATTTATTAATATTCAACAGCCAACTTCCACAATGTTACAAAAAGCAAATGTGACAACGTGAGTCTGGGCTTAATATCGACATGAAGATAGTATGTACACCAGAAATACTGAACATTGTATTTCAGCTGATCAAGTCATGCAACGGTCACTGTACAAAACAACCTGGACTCTTCATAACAACAGTATGTACAACCAAGTAACATCGGCAACTACCAGTATCACGTGGAAACAATGAGGTTAACAATGATAGGAATCTTAACAATAATCATAAAATAACATGAATAATTTATCAACAATGAACAAATTTCCAAAGTTAAAAATAAGCACTTTCTCCTTAAATAGAAATCTCAAGTTTGGAGTGTCAAAGATTTCACACAAGTCCCAAGACTTGAATATAAAACATCGGTAGATACAATCCATAAATTCAACACTGCCACGATAGGACAAAGCTTTGACTCACAAGCCATGTCACAGTTAACTGTACAGTGTTTATCATATCAAGGGCCCTGGTTCAAAATAGCACCCTCAAAAATAGAAAAAACATGAATTTCAAGATTACTTAATAAGTCGACATAAAAACTGTCTGATTTGTCATCTTGATCAATGGAGGCTCTGGAAGCTTAACCAAGGTAAAACAAAATGGTCTAGATAGTCTCCAAATAGTGCCCTCATGGTCACTTTATATACACCTAGTGCTCAACACCTCCAATACGGTAAATAACTCTGTATCTATTTGAAAATACAAAGTTGTAGTCCTCATAACGATCAGTCTCAAGAAGATAAAAATGTTTCCAAATTAAATTGTTTTCACAATGTTGACAAGCCACTCTTAGTTTGTTGCAGTTGAACACAAGGGCTTGCTGCCAGAGACAGCAGGTCCTACCCACTACATAAACTACCAGCCTTCATTATCACAATGAAATGTTTACCCCTACCGGGGTTAGTCATAATCTATAGTTTCTGTCCACTCAACAAATCAGGGATTTTACCAGACTTGGTGAAACAAGGCAACTAATTAAGTAGGAATACAGTGGTAAGTAACATTCTACTTTAAACTAGTTAAAGGCTTAAAAAAATAAAAGAATTGGTTCTCAGGCATTTGCTTTTAAAAATATAGTATGGGCGGGCAGTGTTTTTTTGTTGTGTTGTTGAAGCTTATATGTAAATATTTTAATATTACCTACATTATTTGATATAATTCATTAACGTGGGCAACAAGGTTAACAAGTGTTTTACCATCAATTCAAAACTACTATCTACTGGAATAGTTTCAGACTTTGCCTAGTGTGACTGAAGACATCTTTACATTTATTAAGACACAAACTCTAAATTCTTGGACAAAACCCCTTTCTAATGCATTGACAAAGGTGTTCAAATACCAACATTTCCTACTTGCCCAAGAGAAAGTAAACTTTAAGATTTTCCTTGCCCTGTCTGATTTTCAGCTTGCCCTTCTCAATCACAGAAAAGAAGAAAACCTTACTTCTTAAGCAACAGCTAATGGGAGATGTGCAGAATAAATAAATGACTAGTTGGTAGGGCTGGGATGATACACAAACTGTGCGATACGATACGTATCACGATACCTTGCTCACGATACGATACGTATCATGATACTTGCATGTGCAGTTTTCTGTGGTGCATGGGCCATGTTTTTCATAGACAGGATAGACAAATACCTGGCACACTAACGATTTACAGTTGGCAGTGTCAAGTATGGCGCAATGGATGGAAATATTTACGTTTTCACTACTCATTTTCACTAGCAATTGTTTGGTAACATTTATTGAAGAATACATTGAAGGTAAGAATCGATACTTTTTACTTTGTGTGTGATTGGGATCGATACTTGTATCGAGAAGTAAAAACATCCTGATACATCGGTGTATCTTCCCTCTACTACTAGTCAGGTATTTCATCTGCAGTTGACAAACACACAATGCATCTTCTCAGTTTTGGAGTTAACACCGCTGAGGTTCATACTCGCCTGAGGGCAACTTAATCATATTTTCCCACTGCCCAGCACATGTTGGTCGGGCAAGTCGGGCATCCTAACTGAACACCGCTGCATTGACAAAATTAATCTTTCTTGCATATTATCATTACAATTTCTGGATGAGCTAACCAATGAAGTATATTACAATGACAGACATTTTTCTCTCTAAAAAATATGAAATTTTCAAGAAAGATATAAAAAACAAACTTTCTCACATACATGTATTTTAAACACACCATACAAACAATAGGTTGTTAAACCGACACTCAAAGTGTATTATGATGTAAATGGAGTTATCTCCCCTTGAACACATTTTCCGTTCAGTTAGAGAAAGAATAAGGAGACAAAGGCACTTGATGACAAATATCTACTGCATGATCAGTAGTTTAAGGCTGCAGTGAGGAATTGACACACAACCTGTCGACATTCTTTAGAGGAAGGTTGACTTGGAGTCCTGACTATACAGTCGTTTATGTAAAGCTGCATTAAAGACATGTTTCTCGGGCACACTCTCTTCTCCAAAGGGAGAAGTCATGAAGGGTATATTTTATATTTATATTTTATATTTAGGGAGGAACATCACTCTGTTTTCTTCCCACAAAATACCCCCAAACAATAGGCACACATTAAAACTCCCTCTCCAGAACAAACGCAATATGTCTGTGTTCCTTTAAAAGATATCATAGTCTACTTTATATGACCTGGCAAATTGGAAGATTTTTTTCCTTATATGATATGGAAAATTGAAAGATATTTCCTTATTGGCAATAAAAATGACACACTCAGAAAATAAAGTGACGTGCAGATGCCCGAGTAACCTTTCCTGTTTTCAGCCAATCCATGGACTCTATAGTGTCCATACAATTACAGTCACATGCTTCCTACTGGGGTCATCCATAGTATGTCAGAAATTTAATAGGGGACTCCAAACAGTGAAAATGCTTTCTGATGATAACATTAAAATAAACAGATTGATGAAATATTCTAAATATTCTACATTCTGTATGCAAGGCACACATATGATTGTCATGGTTACAGTAAAATACGCATGATGAATATATGAATTGGTCTGTGTTTTCTAACCCGATTAATATTCTGAATATCTTGAAATGACGGAGAATATGTCATGAATGTTGAAAAGTGTGAGCACTGAGGATAAATACTGATGTCATGAAAGTTCAATATCTACATCACCAAATGTCACTGAATGATGAAATATCTACAGTGATGAAATGACACGATATTCAATGATAAAAATAAACATATATTACACTGGAAACACTATATGTACTGATCTTGAGATCAAAAGTTTGCTGCAAACACAATGAGAGTTACCTCCCACTGAAAGTTATCTCCCTTTAAGAACAGAAGGACAAAATATGAAAAGGACCCATTTTAGCCCAAGGGATCTGGATTGTTAAAGAAGGGTTTAAAACCTGTACAAATCATGAAATTTATCAGATGTGTATACATGAATGAGAATCAAACTTTGAAGATTGAAAAATCAGTTTCTACTCAGTTTAGCCATTATTTCATCAAACCAAAGGTAAAAAAAACTCTAAGTGTAAGACAGAAAAAGTTGTGTTGTCAGCCATATGAAAATGTGTCTGATAACTTTCATAACAAAATTTCAGATCTTTCAGCAACTTTCAAATTTGACATTTCCAGTGCGGCAAAATGGGCCCTTATCCTACCTCATCCTTCCGCTAACCTGTCTCTGAGACAATCATGGTCCTGTGCTTCATAACACATAAGAATACAAGGACATTCGTAATCCGATTTCTACAATTAGGTACACGATTTTACGGCCCATTTGTTTTAAAAGTATATCATTTTTCAGTATAACGTCAAGGCACTTCACCCGTACTGATATAGTGAAAGAGGACTAGGATAGGTGTGACACGTTCTACTCTTAACTTCCACATACTGAACATTGTGTTTCCCTGTCACAGTCACAACGAGTTACATACATCAACTCTTACGTCAAGATGGAAAAAAAAACATCATACAAAATATTCAGCTCTGAAAATACACAGAAGAATGCATGTATATGTCAATATTTACATTTCATTTCGTGATAAGTTTTTTTAAAGTTCTCTCTAAATAAAATAGCTAAATTCATTGAAATACCTTGAAAACGGCATTTGGTATAATTACTCCCTAACATTTTTCTCACACATAACAACCCAAACCAACTTCAACTGAGGCATTTTTTAACCAAATACTAAATCAGAAACTAGATGTTTTTCTGTAAGGGATAAGGCTATTTTATCTTTCAAACTTGACAACATGCAAATTATATTTTATTTTTATTTTTTCTTATCAAACAAATAAAACTTGCAAAAGAGTATATCCAGAAGTCTGCATATGCCTATGCATTAAGAAAATACCTTTTCAGTTTACAACCATCTTCACAAGTATCAGGTCTTGTAAGACCCATGTCCACAGTTCATATCTTGTAAGTAATGCTGAAGAAGACGGAAAGTAACACAGAAGTGATGGATGTGACCTTTCTAAGATTTGAAGACACATCACCACAGAAACTCCGTTCCATTTATATATTATTTCTTAACACATAATGATGAATATAGTAACTTTTAAATTCACAGCCAACATTGTTAAATTTTACAATCATTATAATTTACAAAGTAGACACAATTTATGGATAACAACTTCTTTCTTTTACTGCAATGGCCTCATTTCAGCATAGATCCTAACACCATTTTCAAGCAAGGCATCTTTTCAAAAATGTTTATGATTGTAACACTGTGTTCAGATGTGACTGCTTTCAAAAACATTTTTATATGAAGTATTTAGTCCTTTTTATGATCAAAACATAAATAATAAATAAAACGCTTATAAACTTTAAAAAGACATGAATTCAGTATACATGCAACTGCTGGTACTAATAAACGTTGCCTTAAAAACATATACCCAGCGTACATTATTACTATTTCTAGAATTAAATGGGAATTATAAAAAATATAATCAGTCTTCATGTATGTATAGCCCATGTGTGAATATAATGAGGTGTTCAGTAGTTTTAAATGAGAGTTTTAAGTTTCAATGCTAACAGCTGGACTGACACATGACATTATCAAACATGGAGAATGTCAAGATGATCGAAATAAGAAGTGTATTGATTACGTCCGGAGATAACACCACACATCAATAGATGCTAAATACGTATTGCCTGGTAAGAGCCTTACATGATCAGGAGACTTTGATATTCTGGGAGTGGCTCCTAATCCTCTCTACATTGGGTGTGTCCACATAGGTCTTATGAGAAAGCTATTATTATTCTCTGCTAGATATGACTTTTGAACCAAATTAGTATCTATAGAATTTAGTGTCATTGTTCTATTCAATCGTTTAATCATGTATAAAGTCACTTTAACTTCTTTAGATTTTGTAGTTGTATCTTTTTTTTAAATACGGGAGATTGGACAAAGGAAATAAAACTAAAATATTTTACTCTGTGTGTTTTTCGCCTCCAGACCGTTGATTCCATAAACCATTACATACAAAATTGTGGCCAATGCATGTTTTGTGTCTACCTGCTTTGTTATTAGCATCAGCTGAGTTTGATTGTTTGCTCATATGACCTAAACAATCTGCCATTAGTGTGAGTGAGTGAGTGAGTTGGGTTTAACACAGCCTTGAACAGTATTCTAGTTGTATCACAGCGTGCCAGCTCGATGTGGTAGGATGCCCTAAGTGATGCAGGTCTTGGACGTTTACCACTTTGGTGAAACCCACGAGTATGGGCATGGTGCTGACAAACCAACAAACATGGGATTCGAACCTGTTTGCCATTTCAAAACTAAGAACTAGAATGAAATGTGAAGGTCTGAATGATCTTGCAGACGTACACAGACATAGCAGATGGTTACTTGGATTGAGTCATCACTGCTTACCTCCCTTTACCTAAACTCGATCTTGTATACATCAGCCTACAGATCATAAGATGAATTCATCCTTCATTGTTTTTTGTAAAATAAATATATTTTGAAACTTGATCATGGGAGTAAAATGAGATTGTCTTGCTTTTATCTGAAAACTATCACTACTGTATAAAACATTTTTATCACATGTTACATATATATAAATAAATTAGCACAAACTTCATTTCTGAAGACGTTTTTATGATGACAATTTCACCGAACTATATAAGTTTATGTTAAATATTTACAAACAGATCATGTATCGACATTGATGTTCGGTAAAATCTACAAAACTTTTCACAAAGATCTTCATCGTTTTCATAATAAAACACCATCTTGTCAGTTCTCCAACCAGATTGTCAATGAAATGACCGACATGTAGATTACATGATGATTCAAGAGTTGAGGAGGAATGGGATGTAAATCATCTTGCTCTTCAGAAGCAGGGAGGACGCAGCTTGTATCTGTGGCAGCTGCAGCAATAGCTCCCCAAAGCGGTTTGGTTCGTTAGGGTAATGTGTGTGGACATACGTCTGCAGCCCAGTCATGTAGCGATCCTGCACCTTCTCCATCACCTGGCTGGGATTTGCATCATCTGTGAAGGGGAAACAAGAGATTAGTGAGTGAGTGAGTATGGTTTTACGCCGCTTTTAGCAATATACCAGCAATATCACGGCGGGGGACACCAGAAATGGGCTCCACACATTGTACCCATGTTGGGAATCGAACCCGGGTCTTCGGCGAGACGAGCGAACGGTTTAACCACTAGGCTACCCGACCGCCCCACAGGAAATTAGTGATGCCACAGGCTAGCAACTATGAGAGTCCCATCAACTTTGCAAGCCTCAGTTATCCCACCCAGACCAAACTTAGGCCTACGTATCCTGGGACGTGTTTCACAAAGCAATCACTTTGTGAACGGGGCCCTGATGTATGTCTGATAATACAAACTGGACAAACGTAATCTAATGTATCCTGCGGCCTGTTTCACAAAGCGATCTCAGCGCTAAGATGATCACAACTGCCATACTGTAACAGACTTATGACCATCGTAGCGCTAAGATCACTTTGTGAACGGGGCCCTGATGTATGTCTGATAATACAAACTGGACAAACTTAATCTTATGTATCCTGGGGCCTGTTTCACAAAGCGATCTCAGCGCTAAGATGATCACAACTGCCATACTGTAACAGACTTATGACCATCGTAGCGCTAAGATCACTTTGTGAACGGGGCCCTGATGTATGACTGATGATACAAACTGGACAAACGTGATCTAATATATTCTGCGGCCTGTTTCACAAAGCGATCTCAGCGCTAAGACGATCACAACTCCCATACCGTAACAGACTTATGACCATTAGGGCGCTAAGATCACTTTGTGAACGGGGCCCTGATGTATGCATGATGATATATTGCTGTCCGTGCATGCAGTTTATGTCACTGAACTTTGAATACCTCTACTGAACTATACAAGCTTTACATCATCATGAACTATGGAGATTGATCACAAACTATAGATATTTATCACGAACTACAGATTTATTATGAACTCTGGAGACATATCATGAACTATAGAGATTTATCATGAACTATAAAGCCCCTGAAGTATAGACTTGTCACCAATACTGATAATTTTGTAGATGTGTCATAATGAACTATAGAGACTTATCATGAATTATTGAGACGTGTCATGAACTATAGAGACTTATCATGAATTATTGAGACTTGTCATGAAGTATAGAGACTTGCCATCAATACCGGTAATCTTAGACACTTGTCACAATGAACCTTAGAGATGTGTCCTCATCACGATCATATTCACTTTTCATGGACAGATAAATTAGTGTTACTTACTGTGGTTTAACAGGAGGATGATCTGCAGGCAGACATATTCCTGGAGTGACAGAGACATCTGATAGAAGGACGACATGATGTGTGTCACCTTCTCCATCACGTCACCGATCTCCGAATGCAGCTGGTCAATGGAGAACGATTTCCCGAAGGTGTTGTTCAGATACCACTGCATTTTCTGCATGTTTCGTTGGTACAAGTCATTGTAAGACGGCGTCTCATCTTCGGGCTTTGTGTTCACGGCTCCGTACGCTGTCATGATCAGGAGGAGTAGCTCATGCCACTTGTTGGTGAGAATCTGGGACTGAACGTCCACGGGGATTTCCCTATAGAACGGCAGCTGCCGAATCCACTGGACCAGCTTCACCACGATATCGTCCCCGATTTTACACAAGGTCTGAGCCACGGAGTCCTCGCTGCCTGCGAACTGATCGATGCGATACGATTCAGCAATTCCTAGTAAAGAGTCAACATGCATGAGTTCATCTATGAGATGTTCCGTATCGGGATTGCTGTTAGGGCTGAGAGCTTGGTACGACGTCGACGATGTGTTGGACACGGGGGACATCAGAGCAGTGCTCTGGTAGGAACCTGGGGAGTCCATGAACGATCGCTCGTCTCCGAGCGTGTGACTGCTGTCTTCAACACTCATGCGAGACTCTGTGTCTGTGAGGACCTGTGTGGTCAGAATGCGGTGCTGCGTGTCACTTCTCCTATCATACATTTCACTTCCTGGGAACATGTGCATGTTTTCTTTTATCGTCATCGGTGGTGCGGCATTTCTCATCACAAGAGGTTGTGAGTTTTTCATAGAGTGAGTCTGAGTGAGTGGCAAGTTCTGAGATCTGTCGGCAACGGCCGACCAGTTTATTGGTTCCTTGTAGCCCCCGGTAACTGTCTCCGTGGCGATGTGACCATCACAATTCACCTTGATCTGAGCTACTCTCTGCTTGTACATTCTCCCACTTGCATCGCGTCTCTTGTGTTTCTTGTACTTTACCTTAGAGAGAAACGAATTGTTAGAGGATGTCATCATTTAGTGAAACTCATACCGACTCTACCCGTGAAGATTCCGGGTAGAATAGGTCTTCAGCAACCCATGCTTGCCGTAAAAGGTGACTATGCTTGTCGTAAAAGGCGACTAACGGGATTGGGTGGTCAGGCTCGCTGACTTGGTTGATGCATGTTATCGATCCCAATTGCGTGGATCGATGCTCATGATATTAATCACTGGATTGTCTGGTCCAGACCCGATTATTTGCAGACCGCCGTCATGTAGCTGGAATATTGCTGAGTGCGGCGTTAAACAACCAACCAACCAACCAACCAATCATACCGACTCCATACTGATACTGTGGTCTGGCAGACATGAGACAAGCTCTCCACTTTTCTCGACCTTCAGATTCAGAGAATTTTATGGATGTCAACTTCTTTATTATAAGGAACACAATGTTTTGGAGTATGTACTCCTTCATCACCTGAGACTTGGGTCATAGTAAATGAGTGAGTGAGTGAGTTGGGTTTAACGCCGCTTTTAACAGTATTCCAGTTATATTGCGGCGTGTCAGCTTAATGTGGGAGGAAAGCCCAAAGTGATGCAGGTCTCAGACGTTTACCACTTCGGTGAAACCCATGAGCACGGGTATGGTGCTGACAAACCTAGAAACATAATCGGGGCGAACCGGGATTCAAAACCACAATCATAGGCCGCAACTCTGCACAGCGAATCGCGGCGCCTTAGACGACTGGGCCACCCGTGCCCCCTCATTGTAAATGAAACATAATAGATACATAAGAAAGGATTGGGATAATACTTCTTCCGAGGTATGCAATTAAATATAACCAATCTAAATAAATAATACTAGGGCACCAGAATGTGCACATTTTCCCCCTTTAAGATGCAGGGCCCCATTGTACCTCACTTAAATATATATATATACTGACCAGTCGTAGAGCTATGATCGGTTTGTGAAATGAGGCCCCAGGCTAATCAGCGAGTTCTTTGCATTAATTAGCCATCCTAGTCAGAGCACAAGATGAGGACATTTAGGACTGACATAGGAGACAAGGGTTCATGGTGGACTAGATGATGCAAGACTGTTGGTTACCTTGTAGAGATTGTACACCGCTCCTGAGTTTCTGCCACCTGGCATGCGGTCTTCTCGCACAGCTGAAAATAACACATCCATAGGTCAGTTGGCATTTCTTTCAGTAACTTTGCAGCACGTTGTATGTGCAGTACAAGCAGATGGGTGAGGATGTGGGGTGAGAACTGCTGATGGGTGGAGATGGTGGCAGGGTGGGGTGAGGTGGATATGTGGCAGGGTGGTTGGGGTGAGGTTGAGATGATGGCAGGGTGGGGTGAGGTTGGGGTAAGGTTGAGATGATGGCAGAGAGGGGTGAGGTTGAGATGATGGCAGGGTGGTTGGGGTGAGGTTGAGATGATGGCAGGGTAGGGTGAGATTTGGGTGAGGTTGAGATGATGGCAGAGAGGGGTGAGGTGGATATGTGGCAGGGTGGTTGGGATGAGGTGGATGGTGGGGTGAGGTTGAGATGGTGGCAGGGTGGTTGGGGTGAGGTGGACAGTGGCAGGGTGGGGTGAGGTTGAGATGGTGGCAGGGTGGTTGGGGTGAGGTTGAGATGGTGGCAGGGTGGGGTGAGGTGGATTGCTGGAGATGGTGGGGTGGGATGACGTGGAGATTGTGGCAGGGTGGGGGTGAGGTGGATTGCTAGAGATGGTGGGGTGGGATGACGTGGAGATTGTGGCAGGGTGGGGTGAGGTAGATATGTGGCAGGGTGGTTGGGGTGAGGTGAGATGATGGCAGGGTGGGGTGAGGTTGGGGTAAGGTTGAGATGATGGCAGGGTGGGGTAAGGTTGAGATGATGGCAGGGTGGGGTGAGGTTGGGGTGAGGTTGAAATGATGGCAGGGTGGGGTGAGGTTGGGGTGAGGTTGAGATGATGGCAGAGAGGGGTGAGGTGGAGATGGTGGCAGGTAGGGGTGAGGTGGATTGCTGGAGATGGTGGGGTGGGATGACGTGGAGATTTGCAAACAGATTGTCCCACACACCCCACACACCCCAAATATCAAATGGTTGGTCCCTACACAGACCCCAGCAGGCACCCGTTGGGCTCCTCTTATTAACTGACTAGGGGGATATCACAAAGACAATTCCAATATTCATGATTTAATTGCAACATTATTGATCAGATTAGCAACAGATAAGTATTATAATGCCATGCACAACCACATGTATAAAAGTGTTTGTGATATTTCTGTATGTATTACAGCCTGTTTCAACCAGGAAGCGGTATACAGGTCAGGCGGCCAATGTGTGACATGTCTGTTTCCGCAACAATGTTTACAAACAAACATTCCTGTCGGCATTCGCTTCATACAAACGCCTAAAGACTAAACACGACAATAGATTTCAGAGAAGCCCATGTTTGATCTGTGTCGTTTAAACTTTGTGAGAATCAATGGCAAGCCACAGAATAACTGCTCCCCAGCCTAGTGTTAAGCTGAGGCCAGATATGGGGGGTATTAAACAAACTGAGGCAGAATGTTTGTCAAGTTTCGTCCAACACCTCTCGCAGTAAACATATAATAGGAAGTGTCACATTTTCAGAGACACAGTTTTGATTGTGTTGAAATTTGCTCGGCACAAAAGAAAAGTTGGCCCGCATTGTTTATCTTCAGCATCCGTAATTTATTCAATCGTTTCCACCCATTTCTAAATAAAACATGCCTGACGTGATTTACACGAGGAAATTGCTGAACTTGAATTAAAAACTCCTTGAATGTATTGGTTCCATAGGTTGTTCGCAAATACTTTGAGATATCATGATGATTTTAAACAGCTCAAGAAGCCAGGCTGACGACTGTTGACTGTTGACTGTTGAATGTTGAATTTTAAAAAGTTTTTCAGCAAACTTAATACATTTCATGAAACATATTGCATGTCATAGTGAGTATTTATTGCTATTACAGACGTGAGCAAGGGTGTACTGTCGAATACTACCAATTAGGTAGAAGGTCAAATGCTATCATTTTCTTCTATTTGCAAACGTGCAGTTCCGCAATTTTTAATGCTGAAGAGTGTTACCTGCAAGGACCATGCCCATCTGGAGACATTTCTTGAAGCGACAATACTGACAGCGGTTCCGTTGAGCCTTGTTGATTTCACAGTCGCCGTCAGACACACATGTGTACACCCTCTTGTTCTGGACTGTCCGCTTGAAGAAACCCTTGCAACTGAAGCCAATCAAATACATAAACATTTCAAAAACAGGAAATTGCCTCATTCCACTAAGACGATTGTATCATACTTTAACAAAGAGGGGTGGTCGGGTAGCCTAGTGGTTAACGCAATCGCTTGTCATGCAGGGGACCCGGGTTCAATTAAGTTTTTACTCTAGGGTTTCTATCTTAATTGGGTTATTACATTTTTCATTGGGTAACCAATATTTTTTTATTCATCTATTCATCACTCTATTGGATTCTTTTGCAAAATTAGTGAACATTAGTGAAGATTTAAAAAAAATGAAATGATGTTTAAGATGTATGTAACTTTTCTAAATATATAGGCTTGACCCTGAAAGTAAATTAGCTTGTTATTGTGTTTCAGGAATTAGCTCCTTTGTACACATGCTGAAAAAGCTTCATTGGGTATTTACGCATGCTGTTTTCATAATTTGAGTTTCTCATTTTATAAATGCATTTCTGTATGCATGTTAATTGAAAGTAACTGGGTTTTGAACATTTTTGGGGGTATTTTACGCAAATACGCTTCTTATCTGTAGCTCTGAATAAACAATGTGTACATAGCAGCTTAAGCTACAATAAGCATTCGTGCAACTCCAACCCGACATCTAGAGATGTATATAGAAGATTATGTTTGACATTTGGTATATTATACAGGCTTAGCATCTGGGTGGGGTTCAAAGGAATATCAACGAGATTATTAGGAAATCTTTCATGTTTGGGCAAGTGATTACTTTGACAACTATCTCCAGTTTGAGCACAAATATAACATGTGCAGGGTGATCAAATGCTCAACAAATAGCTATTGTTTAATACCATTGATTACGCCAATGTCTTGGTATTTAACCAGCACTTGGGTAAAGTATTGACCTCTCTCAGCGTATCTCTCCAAATTTGAATTCAGAACATATGCCTCAACAACTTAAGTTTTATTTTGTCAGTTTAATTCTGTGATGAGTTCTCAGAAATAGAGACTTATGAATGAAATTTAAAAATAAGTATTATATTTTGTCTTCAGTTGTATTCAGTGTAGTAACCAGAAACTAAGCATTAAAGCTTGTTTCTCAATTGGTCCTGTGTACATACATTCTAACACTAAACATAACAGATATGGAAGAGAATTCATGGATGTCAGCTATTTATTATGAGAAGTTGACATTCATTCTCTTCCTTATATGTATCACTTCTAAATGCCTTTCAAAGACTTAAACATCACAGCACTTGCCTTTTACACTCGTTTCAGAGACATGGTAAGAAATATATTTGACAATGATCACCATGGTAGTTTATTATTGTTATGATGATGCTTATAAATACAATGTAACTGATGAATTGCAGTTCCTTTGTACTTGTATTTTAAAAAAAATGACATTTTCTCACATTACTGAGTATAATGGACTCAAGAATTAAATCTCTTTTGTTCTGCTATGAAAAAAATGAACCAATCAGGGGGCAATAAAGCATGGATTATTCTTTATATTACATTTGCACCATAATATAGGTCAGTCATGTATTATAAACAATTGGAGAAAAGAGTTGCGTCCCTTGGGCATGTCAGAAACCTATGATTGTGGGTTCGAATCCCAGTGAACTCCAGTTATGTTTCTAGGTTTGTCGTGGGTTTCACCAAAGTTGTACCGGTAAATGTCTAAGACCTGCATCGCTTCAGGCTTTCCTCCCACATTAAGCTCACACGCTGTGATATAACTGGAATACTTTTAAAAGCGGCTTTAACCCAAACTCACTCACTCACACACTCAAATGACAATTTTTATTTTTGTGCCTGATGCATAAATAAATCCTTTAAAATAGAGAATCAGTTTTCTCCATCAAGTAATCCTGTTATTTTTACCATGGACAAAGGCCAAAATAAGGGCACCTGCAACAACGTCTAACCTCTTGGAAATACAAGAATAACTTGTCACATGTCTCCATTCAAAAATTCTTTTCTCCAAGTTATTTTTGTATTTCAAAGAAGCTTCCCTAGTTCCTGGCATTCAAAGTGGCTTGTTTTTATGGACCTATGGGTTAGCATGTCTTATATTTGGGTTGGAGTTTAACAGTGACCCCGTTTCGCTCCACCCTATGTCGACACTCCGCTATGTCGGCAAATATGAACAGCGTTAGCAACCTTGGTGGGGCTCAGTCTGGGAACTTGATAATGCCTTGGCATGGACTTGTAAAGAAAGCAAAGGAGGATATTAACTTATTTCATAGGGTAACGACTCTCATTCACCTTAACTGGCTCAACATTGGCTGAGATGATTCTCTAGCAAAAGAGTATTTGAAGATTTTGTCTGAGCCGAAGCCCCTTGAAAATAGTTGTCCCACAGCTACTGGATTTAGTTAGCGATAAAATACACACAAATACTGAGAACTTTTTCCATAAACCATGGTTAAAGGGCATTTTTTACTTAAAAACTAAATGTTGAAAAACAGAATCCTTCACTACAATGTATTTTCCTAATTGGTTTTAAAGATTGTATTCTGTAAACCTCTGGATAAGAACTTCTTCATTATACTATCATAGCGATATAACAGTATATTAAAGAAGTTGTTATCCATATATCCTTGTGGTTAAAGTGTTTGCTCGTCATGCCTTAGGCCTGGGTTCGATTCCATGCATGGTATAATGTGTGAAGCCCATTTCTGGTGTCTCCCTGCCATGATATTGCTGGAATATTGCTAAAATCGGCGTAAAACCATACTCACTCACTCACTCTAAGAAAATGGCTATCAAAGAATTCATGTCTTAAAGTTTGTTCAAACAAAACTCCATTTTTGACTGGGTAAATGAGAAAGGATCTTCAGTCCTTTCAGTAGAACAGCTATAACCTCCCCAAAACGTGGTATTATTAAGTGGTGTAAGAATAGGATGATATTTAACTCATAAGCCATTGCCAGAAAAAGAAACTGATCATTTTACTAAAATATTTACACTGAACATCACTGTGTTACCAAGGTTTATCATCCAAAACTGACTCTAACAGTAGATATGGCTACATTGTAGATATCTCTACAATGACATTGCATCACAAGGCTTTGCAGACCATTGTAAGGTCATTGGTTACCATGACGTCACAATCAAATGACATCACTCATGGCTCTGCTGCTCATGTCTCTGCAGCCTCAGAGTTTTTCCACTTTTATCACCTTGTGGTGATATATTTGATATCAAAAAGACACTCGGGTGAGATTGTTGTGAGTTGGGAGTGAGTTGTTGTAAACAGTTGCATGGAACATTTATCAGGCCATAAAATAATATTATTTTGCTTGGTCTCCAGATTCGCCAAACTTAATCATTTGAAAACTCATAAAAAAAACCCACAGGAACGGATAAAAGGGTTTGTGTAGGTATATTGAAATGTGAGCCCTAGAGATGTAGATAATGACTTATGTCAATATATTGCAATATGTATCACAATGCAGACTGAATACACTGCTGGGTATCATTTGGTCCCAGAAATAAAGTAATCTCATTTAAAAATATATATCTAAAAAATAAATAATAAAATACAATTGGAGCTCAGAACAATGTCTAATTTCAGCTGAGGCAATCTAGACTTGCCAAATCATTCTTTACTTGAGTTGAATTCCTTCTTTGGTTTATTCTCCAGGGTCTGGGAGACAGTCTAAGACCTAAGTATCTATCGTTTATTTGTTTGTTGTTTAATGCTGCACTATGATACGATGACATGCATCAACCAAGTCAGCGAGCTTGACCACCCAATCCTGTTAGTCACCTCTTACAACAAGCATAGTTGCCTTTTACGGCAAGCATGGGTTGCTGAAGACCTATTCTACCCCGGATCTTCATGGGTCAAAAGTATCTCTCGCATTATACTGCAACACAATCGCAGGCACTTCACAGCCCTACTACTCACCCTTCACATGTGATGATGCCGTAATGCAGACCCGTCGCCCTGTCGTTACAAATAGCACAGATCATTTGTTCTTCTGGATCAGATTCATAGTCTTTGTGCTCTGACTGGTCCGTCGAGCGGTCATTTGGCCGAATGTCCTTTTCAGCCAAGTGACCACTATATACAAACTTGCCATTTGTATAATGAGCAATAAAGTCTTGTTCCTTACAGAACTTTTCATTCCCTGTCGCCTTTGAAGATTTGAAGTTACTCGAACTGTCCAGCTTCTGTTGGCTAGTTCCGGAGGCTATGTTCATGTGGCTTCCATTGTTGGTTGGGAGGTTGAATAGTGGCACATTTTTATCCATCATCGTCCCGCTGCTTGAAAACATGAACCCAGAAGGGGGCGCTGCAACAAACATAGGAGTCGACATGTTGGGCAGCGATGCCGGCATCAAGCCAGGCATGGTGCCCATGACTGGAATGAACCTCATTCCAGTGGGGACAAGTCCTGGTACCTGGGACACCCCATGGTTTTGCAACATGTTCATATATGCTGGAGGGAAACCAAAGTAGGTCATTCCCATTGACAAGTTCTTATTGGTCCCACCTGGTTCAGAGTTCTTAATCTGCTGTGTGAAGTGATCGAACTTTCTTGCACTGTCATCTTCGGATGTTCGGCACGTTTTCAATGGCGGTTCGTCAATGCTGCGTCTGTCGCTGATGTCACTGGCTCGGTCAGATATATAGGCACTGTCTACACTTTCACTGCTCACGTCGCTCTGACGGTCACAGTCGCTGGATTCGTTCAATTTTGTGTTGAACGTTCCAGACTCAGTGTCGCTTCCAAAAATGTCTTGAACACGCTTCCTCTTGAGTTTAAAATCTCGGAACATGCTGGGTGCTCGGTACAAGGACTTGTCACATCCACTCGTCTCCATTGGGAGATGATATCTGCTTGATACAAAGGCTGTCATCTGAAAAACAAGAATAAGCTGTCACAAACAACTCTCAGTATTCTCCAATGATAACTTGTCGTAAGAGGCGGATAATGGTATCTAGCATGAACTAAGATATTTGTAGCTTGGAAATAAATTCACAGTTTGCCTTCACAGGTTGAAATGGGTAGCAACCAGGGGTCTGGAAAATTTTAAATCCAAATTGGATTGCTACTAGCAACCCTCCTGAAGTGTCACATGTTGCCCATGATTCACTCTAGATATTTCAGCAGACACAATTATCTTTGGAAAAACACAAACATCTGCAGTGATAGTTGAGGAGGCCATGTGGATTGGGGTGTTGATGAATGACTCAATCGTTATTTCAAGAGCCAGTTTGTAAGTAAGGACAAGAATTTATGGATGAACTCTGGGTATATCACTTGCTTAATAACAGTGTTAGTACCTACACCGAAACGTTGCTCTTAATTGTAATAAAGAAGTTGTTCATCCATAAATTCTTGTCCCTACTTAGTACTCCAACTTGTAAATGCCTGAATGCCAATATCAAAGAAACCAGTTTGTAAATTGAAGGTAGCTTTGTGGTCCAACAACTCTTCAAAGAAATTTGAAGTAGATCTGGAATTTGAGCTCATGATCATATGATTCACCTGAAGAGAAGCAACAATCTTTGAACATTTTATATATTAGAATGCTACGCCATAAATTGCAAAGAACTATAAAGAGCGAAACGTTGTTTATTTCACGATAAGACATTGTTCTGTCATGATGTCATTCCTAAGATTTGAAAATGTGCTCGCAATGTGCTTGATGATGTTGTCTATTGGACAATGTTATTTTTGAGAGGGAAGTGTCCAGTGAGTTGTTCCTCATAGATTAAGCTGGGCAACACAGATAAATGCAGTGGCCGAACGATGGCATCCAAAAGTGGGAGCGATATGATAATCGAGAGAAATGGTGCAGATAATCGACGTGAGGATTGTGAGAATATGTCGGACTTACTAATACCAAACCCATCTGTTCATAAAATCGACACTGTCGAGGTCGGATTCTATTTAAGGAGTTATCGTTATTTAAATATTTATTTAAAGCTTGTACATTTTGTCTCATCCTTAAAGAGGCTATACATTATGTTAAAATCTTACGCCCCGAGTGGTTTATTCTCCCTGCAATGTTGAATTGAATGATAAACAACTCCCACTTGTCGTTTATTTCTTTAGAAATTTAAGAAATAAACGACATTTCCATATATATGGACTCAACTGTGATAAACTGAATAATGTTATTGAGCCCAAGTGTATTAAAGATGCTGATTTTACTGGAATACTGTTTAAAGCTGTGGTAAGCCCAACTCAGTCAAAGGTGTGATTCTTAGCAAATGTTGAGTAGTATAGTTACTTACTTATTTCCAGAGTGTTCATAATATCTATTTGAAAACTTGCCGTATTACAGATAACAAACAACAGATGAAAGGCCAAATCAATGGTGATATTTTTCTGTGATTGACTTAATACAGGGTTAAACTGATTAACTTTCACATAAGGAAGAAACCTTGTAACAATGGTATGAAATCGTCAGACATGTTGAAATTTGTTTGTTTGCAATATTCCAGCTGTATGACAGGAGTCTGTAAATAATCGAGTCTGGACCAGACAATCCGGTGATTGACATCATGAGCATCAATCTTCGCAACTGGGATACGATGACACACATCAACCAAGTCAGTGAGCCTGACCACCCGATCCCGTTACAAAGTAGGACATGTATGGCATATAGGATAGTTAAACGACTCAAGAATGCTATATAGGATACTCGTGCAAGTCCAGTTTGGCATAAAGGCTAGCCAGTTGAGACTTTCAAGGCATATAGGATAGTCGAACGACTCCAGAATGCTGTATAGGAGGATACTCATACAAATGAAGTTTGGCATTAAGGCTGCTAAATTGAGACTTTCATGGTACAAAGGCTAGTTGCACAAGATGTCCAACATAGTATACAGTGACTGGTTTGGTAAATGGGCTAGTCAAATGAGTCTGGCATGGTATAATGGCTAGATGACTATGTCCAGAATGGCATATAGGATACTCTGGCAATCAAGTCTGGCATGGTTTATTGGCTAGTTGGCTGACTCCAGCATGGTTTTTGGCCAGTTTGACAAGACGTTTTTATTTCCTCAGTCATAAACTATTTCCGTATATCATGTTTGATAGGTAGTATTTTCTAAAACACAGAATAACTGATTGATTTAACTTTCAGTAAGTACACAAAACCGACTTGCATATCAAAATTTGAACCTTAAAAAAAGTAGCAAGAAAATATATACCTCATCTATAACAAAATGATGTTCAAAAAGTCTGACCATGTCAGATAAAAATGCAAAAAAGACTACCACCAAACAAGAGACAGATGTGGCAAATATATTCAAGGTACTAAAAATGATGACCTACCGCCATTGTGTCCTGTATACTAGTAAAGCCGATCTATAAGGTAAGGGGCAGCATCGACGTTATCCCAAGCTCTTTCAACTTGACAATGACAATGCCAGGACTCGGACAGGGGAATACCTCAAACAGTCCTGAGCGTCCCTTCCACGACTGGGCGGTGGCGGAAGAGGAACCGTTTGCTTAATGTCTTGATAGTAAACACCAACAAAAAGCCACTTTGTTGTGACCAAGAAAAGAGCCAAATGGCTGCTGGATTGGCAAACAGAAGCCAAGACCTCGAAATCCCTTGCTTCTAAACATAGGGCCTCATAGCCATTCCACAATTATTGACAAAAGACAACAAAACTCGACTGAAACGACAAACTGGTGACCTTGGATCAACAGTTCTCTCCCTTTGTCAACAGCGGAGGGTGGGCCTATGTTACACTGCTACAACAAGGATAGATGGCAGCACTGGCCGCTCACTGTCGTCCCACAGCGGCTTGGATCTCTGCCATCCTGTTTCTATTTTAACAACTAAGGTTTACACCCAATTTCAGTCAAATATGCCAAAGTCAATGACACCAGTAGATTTGATTGCTGTGTCCACTCTCTTTCCAGGCCCCCTTCACCTTGACTCACGATGACCTTCAAAACCCTATGTTCCAAATGGGTCTTATCTAAGGCCACATGGATGTCAAACACTGTAAGGAACATCATAAACTCCATGGTGCCATAGATTCTGTACATACGTCTACTGATTACTGCCAGTGTTTGACCCGAACCAGAATTGGTTTATCCAAAGAACCATCAGAATGAGTGAGTGAGTATGGTTTTATTGCTCCCTTAGCAATGTTCCAGCAATATCACAAAGAGGGATACAAGAAAAAGGCTTCACACATTCATAATTGAAGGCATACTATTACAAAACAATGACATCATTTTGCATATAAAATTGGTCTGGCCCAATATTATTTCATAATACTGTATTCGTGTGGGTGTTTAGAATATTGACAAAGGGGTGCGTATTAAAACCATACACAAGTTAAATTTGTCATCACTGACCAATCAGCAGTGAACAGACTTAGTTCAAACGTATGTGAAGCTAACATGTTTTTTTATAACAGATACTAGGCAATTTATTACCCTTTTTGCGCTACCATTTTCTGTAAGACATCTGTTATATACACACTAAAAAACGACTGTCGTGTAAATTTTGGTCTTAATAAGGGGCACTTCATAACATTACTTTTACTGGATGTTGGACAGGGGGTGCTTATCATGCTTATTGGAGCAGTGCGCTTAATACGATGAAAACGGTTTATATAGTAATAGGCTGATGTCCTCATAGAATAACAGTGTCCAGTATTATACAATGTCATATTTATTGTTAAGCTAGTCAAGATGTTTTTTTAATACCATTACCATGATTACAGATTCCGCTCACCTAAAATATATAAGGCGGAGGCAAAATAAACCTAAAAAGCATAAAAAAATTATTCCATGAAAAATGTTCACCACAAAACAGCTGTGAAAGGCTACAGTGCACAAAAATGACTTTGAGCTAAGCCAAGCTTAACTAACTCGTTCACGTCCCAACATAATAATAAAACTGCTTGAAGAACAAAATAAAGAAATAATTAATTTTTTTCCCCACCTACCAACACAAACAAAATCATAAACCAAGAAAAAATGCAACTGGCCTTATCAGGATAAAAGGAAGCACCAATTATAGCTCACCTCGAATATGTACAAAGTCTGGTGCAGATTAGATTTAACACGCCACAGTGACTAAGTCACAGACCATTTTGAGGCACGTGTTTGTAAACCTGACCTTCACCAGCCTAGGTGACTAGGCGATATTACATGACATAGATAGTCCTCCGCTGCGCATGTGAAGGTCGGCCTCATGACATTACCTATCACCCAACCATATCTGATACCACCTCAACTGTCATTATGTAAACCTGAAAAAGGTACTCGAGACATGTTTGTAAACATTCATTGCTGACGTCTGCTGAACAATTTTGTACTAGAGATTTGATCAGGATTTTAAACTAATTGCCAGTGGCCGGCATTATTTGAAACAACATTCGGTCCTTAATTTGGAATTTTTAAAAGAATTATTCATACTGCTTCAATGCAATAACTTAAAACTGATTATTAAAGGTGAGGTGAGGAGAGGTAAATTGGGTTTAACGTCGCATCCAAGATTATTTCACATATATAGCGTGTGCATGCACGTGTGTGTGTGTGTGTTTGTGTGTGTGTGTGTGTGTGTGTGTGTGTCTGCTTGTACTAGTCCGGGCTGATGCCGATTTAAAGTGCTAGCTCACTGAGACACCATGCCGCAGTTTAACATGAATACCCCACTCAGACACAGTATACTGACTCCAAGCCGACCAGTCCTTGTTTTAGCTCCTCAATGCTGAGCACCAGACAGGGTAACAACAAGTACCATCTTTTAACGTCTTTTGATATGATTGTCTTTTGGCCGGGGATCAAACCCCAGACCTTCCGCTCTCTGGGCAGATGCTCTACCACAAAACCACGGAGGCGGTCGTTTAGTAAAGCATTTTACTCTTAAGGGACCAAACTTTTCATATTCTTTGGAGCAGGGATGGGCCCAGGTGTTTTTTAAAAAAAACCTCATCTGTTCTCAGGTTTTACACAAAAATATAAAAAATCATTAGCTAGAGATGCTGGTTGTTAAGGGAAAAAATGAGGCTGATATTCTGCTCCAAGTTTGAAGCAAATGTCAGTAACAGTTCCCAAATTGGAATTACAAATATACCAATTCATGTTATATATGAATAACTGATGTTATGTCTTGTAAAAGTAACTTGTTTTCACTCACTAATCTTAGGCAAAAAACAAGTTCTTCCCAAACTACTTTCCATGGACACTTAGTTTGAATAATGATGTACAAAGTGCCATAATCTTTCTCCCATGTCACATCACCTTAAACCCCATGTCACCTCACCTTGAAACCCATTTCACCATCTTTAAACATGTTAAACCCATTTCACATCACCTTTAAACTAATTTCACCATCTTTAAACCCACTTCACCTCATCTTACACTCCATTTCACCTCACCCATTTCTAATCACCTAAAACCCAATTTCACCTCACCCATTTCTCCTCAAAATAAACCCCATTTCACCTCACCTCATTCCTCCTTTGTTATTCCTTCACTGCGAATGTGTAGAACCGAGACAATAACCTAATGGCTGCTATAACCTAACAGCCACCACACGAGACACGTACCATATCAATCAATCATAGAATCTAACCACAGACAACACTAATAGCAGAACAGAGCTCACCAGACCTTAGATCTACATCCAGTCGACATCCTCACATCGCTGAAAAATAATCCATAATGCGCTTCTTGTGAAAATATGGGTTAAAATCCAATATACAGAGTACTCAAACTGCTCCAACAACACTCTTTCCAGAGGATGCTATTTTGGTCAGACTGTCACTACAGACGTCATGCACAGGCTACGTAGAAGGTACATGGCGATCGCAATTAACCTAATATAAGCTTACTATAACATGGAACAACGTCAGAGTGGGCAAATCATTGATTTTTTTAAGAAATCCAGCTGTGTGAATATCTGATTTCATTATTTCATTGTCCTTCTTTTCTTAAGGTCCACTGGTTTGTTTTACGCCTTGAAATTCAGGAATCAATCTTAAATCTCATTATTACTTTTTACCAGAGCCTGAGCTTGGGTTATTAAATCAGAGAGCCTTCTTGGACAAAAAATTATAGAAGAAACTTTTGTATTTTTAAACTAATTTTTTAGTTCTTGAATTATAAAAAGAGAGAGTTTAGTTATGACTATATTTACATGAGGTGAGGTGAAACGAGGTTTAACATCACGCTCAAGATTATTGTGACGAACATGCACGTGTTTGTGTGGCTGCTTGTACTAGTCCAGACTCTCTGGGCGGACGCTCTACCACTGGACCACGGCGGCGGTCATATTTACATAAAAATAGGAAATGCTTAATTCCCATTTGTGAATTTTACTGAAGATTCATGCAGACTCGAAGCCGACTATCAGCCTCTGAGCAGGTCCAGATAAATCCCTGACTTAATCATACAAACAAGAGAACACTGATTTTGGATTTTACATTTAGATACAACAAAAGAATATGTACACTAACTTTCTCACAGTCCCTGAACAATAGTATTTTCCCTTCTGCCCATCCCTTACTGTAATGCTATAGCCCAAAATGAAGCAAGTCTAGATTTTCCTCGGGTGAATCGCCCATCTCAATGAGGAAATGCTGATGTGATGTTCAACTCACTCACTTACACTCACCGAGGCTCTTTCTTAGTTTAAAGGGAGTTGTCTCTTTCTATGAAAATGATATGTTTTCAAAGACTAAGTGTTAGTCTAAAAATGTTTAAAAGTGTCTTTTTATTATACAAATGTTAGTATTCAACATTTCTGACATATTTTAACAGTGTACTTTTTAAACTATGAAAATATTTATTCATTTTCATGTACTGGTACTCTACTTGAGATGGGAGTTGATTCAAAAGGACAATTAAAGGACTCTTAAACTCTTAAAGGTACATTTTCCATTTTCAAGATTGCTGGGGACCTATTCTAACCAGGATTCCCAGGCGGGGTCAAGGACAGGCACACAATTTCCTGTTGATCTCCCGGTTTGAATTTGCAGATAGAAATGGATCTTAAACAACAGCAATACATTCCAACCCTTGCATGACCTTTGGAATAATTTCCTATTTTATCTTTTTAAATCAAACTGCAGTTATCTGAGAAGAAATTAGAGATAGTATCATTGTATGATTTAAGTTAACAAAATATGTTTGAGTCCGACTTTGCCATTCAAATCTACAAATTCAGCACAAAGGCAGGTGCAAAATCACAGCAGTTTGTCAAGTCATCTCTGATGCACCTCAGTAAACAAGATTCAGTGAGACAAAGTGGATAGAAATATCTTGTACAAAACTGTCAAAAATGAGTATTTCTGAATTCACAACTCATGTTCATACACTACAATAACATCAACTCAGCTAGTTTCATCACAAGTTTCATTCTATATTACATAAACAAAACTATATTTTATTAAATGTTCCTTATGCCTGTCCATAGTACAATAATATAGAATTGGATCCTATCTAGTTGACTTTAAATTGTAGAAATCCTAATGGTTTGACTTTCTCTATTTTCTGTTCAATTTTTTGAGACAACATATCAAAAACTTTCAACCAGGGCATTCCAAACACTAATCCTGATGTTACATCATTTTGCTCAAACACTGATTGAAGATATGAAGATATACCCACAGCGATTTACAACACCTACATAGAATAATTGAAAAATACCCTTTAAATATTAGTAATTATAGTAATTTGAGCTTCACAAATGGTTACCTGGCTAAATAATTGAGTTTTTCTATACTGACACGTATTACAAAAGAGAGGTATAACAACACATTTCATATTAATGACCATATTTAAATAATATTTTAATTAATATCGCTGAAAACATTCACAATAAAATAAGTTTAAAAAATCAATGACATTTTCACATCAAGTTTCTTGTACATTGAAAGCTAAACAAACGAGATCATGCATTCATTTTAATTTCTATATTATGCAACCAGGTCGTCTGTTTATTGATTGCTATAACCATGACTGCCGCCCGTGTCTGTGGTCACGTGTCTACTTTTATTATGCAGATTAGGAAAGCCCAAGAAATCCCTCCGCTTGGAGTCGATTGTTGGCATATGTATGGAGCGTGTATCGTATCAAAATGAATCTGTCTAGAGAAATCACACAAAAAGGATGATGTAATGTCATCGGACCACATAGAGCCAACTTCCGCGAACGGTAAATGTTATAGATAACCAAGGACAATTGCACTGAGACAGACACGTGAGGCCACGAAGAACCGCCTCCCTGACCTTGACAATGATCTAGGACGCACCCCCCCCCCCCCCCCCCCCCATCACTGAAATAGCACACAAGCACACGGTGGTTTAGACATATGTATTAACATACTTATGGAGTTAGTCAAGCGGTAAACTGCCATACAAATTCCAAGCGACGGACATAATTCTTATATTACCTACAGTAGGCAGTACTATCGTGGACACTATTTCGGGGCATATTGATACTGGTTGATATATATTTTGGGTATAGCCATAAGGCTTATATACGCAGAATGTCAGTTGGTATCGTAAAAAGCCAGCGGGGTTTAGACACTGAACAGATATCAGTTAGGTCATAATCGCTACACCATGCCCGCGACAACACAGGTGTGATATGCCTTTACGAACGACTCGGTGACAATCGTCTGCAAGTCCCAGGTCACGTGTCGGAGAAAATGTGCCGATTAAAATTGTAAAAATCATCATTTTCCCGTGAGTTTTGACATAAATGATATAAAATAGACATTATGTGACTCTAATCCTATTTACAACATCCACAATATACAATTATTAAAAAAATAAATTAGTTTTAATAAGACACGTAACGATATTTTTTTTCTAATACTAGAATGGGACAAATATAATTTTTACTTAATTAAATCTATGAGTATTCAATACATAATTAATACATCCGTTGTCTGTGAAACTAAATTAAAGATCTCTGAAGGCAAATCCCCCGTATATTCTAGCAGTTAGACACCTACATGAATGATGCTGTAAATGTACTACTTCAACCGAATCTACACTAATATATTTCATACTCACAAACTTAGATATGAATGTTTCCTGTTGGAAAAAGTCACCTCATTGTAGTAAGGCTAACCCACACATTGAACTTGACTCTCCTTACATCAACTAGCTAGAGTCTGGTCACGTGTATTGCTGTACTGACATGTGATAACAACCGCACAACTACCTTCGCCAAAGCTTCCGCGACCTTGAGAACATGCGATAGGCGATATAGTTCCGTGTCTGTGTTCAAACACATTGACATTAACGGCAAGATAGCTTAATCCCCACAACAGTTCAATTCAACACAAAAACCTGCTCATATCAGTCGGATGTTATAATAATGCGTTTATTAAAATGCCCACAACAACGTGACTTGGCGTATTTATACCTTGATGTACAGCTATAAGTATTCGGTATTATTGCACTTGACCCATTTACATATTTATGAATCGAAAACAAAACAAATGTATGAAATGTATGCGATGTTCGTTGTATCAGTATGTTTTGGAGGGGAAAACAACACGGATGAACAGTAGATAGTGACACAGTTGTGAAATACGACATAGAACACCTATATTTATCTGAATTAGTATTTTAGGGCGTGTCGGCCTAACACACCCTGACTATACTGAATGACATTAAAGGTACTTCGTCATAGTTCAAGGACATGCGTGCCCCGTGCACAGGGTTGTTGCACTCACATTAGAAATAAAACACATATTGCTAAGGGACCATATGGCAGTGTGATATTATCGATAATGTAATTCGTACTTGTAATATATGTAATTCAGTTCCCGACAAAACTGGCCTCCCAATAGCGTTATCACATGTAATATCGATCCGTGGCCTGGCGTTATATGACGATAGAGAAGTTCAGATCGATATCTGTGTAGAAAGTGAAGCATAAACGCCATCTTGACACTGCAGGATTTTTTCACAGGCGTACAATTTCGACAATTTTACCTGATTAGAATGTATAGTTGTTGAATATATTCAACGATATGGTCCCGTTATTACAATCATCTATGTAGCTATGTGTAGAGGACCCATTACATACGCATATGTCAGATAGTTAAAATATGTTTTGTATTGAGTGAATGAGTGAGTATAGTTTTAAGCCGCTCTATGCAATATTCCAGCAAAATCACGGCGGGCAACACCAGAAATGGTCTTCACACATTGTAACCATATGGGGAATCGAACCTAGGTCTTCGGCGTGACGAGCGAACACTTTAACCATGAGGCTACCCCACCGCCCTCTAATGCCGTATAACCGTTATTGTGATCGTTGTGAATATGTGATCTGTTGTCATATACCTACATCAATACATTCTTCTGTTTATATTTTGCCTGTTGTCATATACCTTCATCAATATATTGTTCTGTTTATTCATTATCTGTTGTCATATACCTACATCAATACAATCTTCTGTTTATATTTTGCCTGTTGTCATATACCTTCATCAATACATTATTCTGTTTATACATTATCTATTGTCATATACCTACATCCATACATTCTTCTGTTTATACATTATCTATTGTCATATACCTACATCCATACATTCTTCTGTTTATACCTTATCTATTGTCATATACCTACATCCATACATTCTTCTGTTTACACATTATCTATTGTCATATACCTACATCCATACATTCTTCTGTTTATACATTATCTATTGTCATATACCTACATCCATACATTCTTCTGTTTATACATTATCTATTGTCATATACCTACATCAATACATTCTTCTGATTATACATTATCTATTGTCATATACCTACATCAATACATTCTTCTGATTATACATTATCTATTGTCATATACCTACATCAATACATTCTTCTGATTATACATTATCTATTGTCATATACCTACATCAATACATTCTTCTGATTATACATGATCTATTGTCATATACCTACATCAATACATTCTTCTGTTTATACATAATCTATTATCATATACCTACATCAATACATTCTTCTGTTTATACATTATCTATTATCACATACCTACATCAATACATTCTTCTGTTTATACATCTTGTGTCATATACCTACATCAATACATTCTTCTGTTTATACATAATCTATTATCATATACCTACATCAATACATTCTTCTGTTTATACATGATCTATTATCATATACCTACATCAATACATTCTTCTGTTTATACATGATCTATTGTCATATACCTACATCAATACATTCTTCTGTTTATACATGATCTTTTATCACATACCTACACCAATACATTATTCTGTTTATACATGATCTATTATCATATACCTACATCCATACATTCTTCTGTTTATACATTATCTATTGTCATATACCTACATCCATACATTATTCTGTTTATACATTATCTATTGTCATATACCTACATCAATACATTCTTCTGTTTATACATGATCTATTATCATATACCTACATCAATACATTCTTCTGTTTATACATGATCTATTGTCATATACCTACATCAATACATTCTTCTGTTTATACATTATCTATTATCATATACCTACATCAATACATTCTTCTGTTTATACATGATCTATTATCATATACCTACATCAATACATTCTTCTGTTTATACATGATCTATTGTCATATACCTACATCAATACATTATTCTGTTTATATATCTGGTGTTATCACTGATTTCGGTGGTCAATCCCTTTATTTTTACGGCTATTATGCGCCAAATGGAATCTGTTTCGCCGGATAATCAAGACTAGTTATTCTCTGGCTCTGACATTTTACATGTTATTGTTATGGGAAATGTCTCTATAGCAGGCTTGTCACTTCCGTTCTTCATATAAATTATTACAGGTAAGTACCTTCATCCCTGCTTGCGTAAAAGGCGACTAACTAGATCGGGTGGTCAGACTCGCTGATTTGGTTGAGGTATGTCATCTTATCCTAATTGCGTAGATCGATGCTCATGATATCAATCACTGGATTGTCTGGACCACACTCGATTATTTACAGACCGCCGTCATATAGCTGGAATATTTCTGCGTGCGGCGTAAAACAACAAACAAACAAATCTTCATCCCTGGGCCCTGTTCCACAAAGCGATCTTAGCGCTACGACTGTCGTAAGTCTATGTTAATGTATGGGAGCTACGGTCACCTTAGCGCTACGATCGCTTTGTGGAACAGGGCCAAGTGTGTCACCATTGTTGTTTACATAATTCCGTCACATCCGCGTTCGTAACTTCCAGTCGAGGCATTACCTAATAACTACGTCACGCTGTGATGGAGCATCGGCTCGCTTCTGTCAGAGACCATACACCGGTATATGGTCTCTGCTTCAGTATTCGCTCTCCATCATTCATTGCTACCACATTCGTTTCTTTTCCCTCGTTACCATTTTCATCTTTCGTTTCATTACAAGTTTGGTAGCATTGTTTTTAAAATGTCACGTGACATTGGTTTCCAACCGGGTAACATAGGTTTCCTCTTAGTGTCACTGATGTGTAGGTTTCCAGGAGAGGTTTACTGAGAAACTGTTACTATATATTAAGGTCTTTGTTCGGAAGCCAACATATAAACCAACACTGAAGGTATTTATATTACTGATTACTTAGTACTTTTTACAAATTCCCCTCCAAACTACAAGTGTTTCTTGATTGTATTAGAATATTTTCTTTATAAAATAACCTAACGATTAACGGTGGCAAAACACACGTTGTCGTGTGTGGCAAATCAAGAAAAGCAGAAGAAAAGAATAGATGGAAGATGGGTGATACACAAATACTAGTTACTAGTTCTTTTATAAATATTAATTTACATTTAATATTTCAAATATGAATTACCAAAAGCGCACCTACATCACGTACGTGCATACAGGACCTGCTAAGATCCGGGGTAGAATAGGTCTTCAGCAACCCATGCTTGCCATAAAAGGTGACTATGCTTGTCGTAAAAGGCGACTAACGGGATCGGGTAGTCAGACTCGCTGACTTGGTTGATGCATGTCATCGATCTTAATTGCGTGGATCGATGTTCATGATGTCAATCACTGGATTGTATGGTCCAGACTCGATTATTTACAGACCGCCGCCATATAGCTGGAATATTGCTGAGTGCGACGTAAACCAACAAACCAACAAACCAACCAATTTTATAAATATTTTATTTAGAATCTGATCTTATGACCGTAGGGCTATTTAAGCAGACTGAGAAGTCGTTCCGGCATTAATTTTTTTCCACTAGAGTGCAATAACATGCTATTTCACTCAAGCAAATATCGATTATACGTTTTCAGATAAACATAGTATTTCATGACTAAACCCATACCAAATAAAGCAATGAGAGTTCAGGGTGTGGATATCTAACACAAACATTTCAATAACAAACCACGGCAATGCATAGTCTAATTCCGTTCAAATGTTTATCCTATTGAAGCTAGCGATCGACGATGACTTTGACGGAATCAGTCGTTCAACCCGTAACTGTTGTAATACCCGCGTTAACCTTTTCGAGGTTGCATGATTAGAAAACGCATTCCGACTGTCCCTTTCTCACTCTGGGAAGCAGCGATTTGATTGGTCGGATGAAAGGTCGTTCTGACGTAACTCGTATTGGGATGTATTCAGATCTTTGTTTAGCGGTTGGATTTGAGTTGAGGGACAATACCACGTTTGCAGAGATAACATAATTTTAATGAGACCACAACTTTTATAACCAGGCATCACACGAGCTATTTTCACTTGGGAAAAGTTTATGAAGAACTAGAAATGCAAGCGACTGTACATTTTCAAACAAACGGTTTGTTTGTTTGTTGTTTCACGCCGCACTCAGCAATGTTCCAGCTATGTGACGGTGGTTAAAATATAGGACAGGTCAACCGATGCACCGAAAGAAATTCACATATATACATGCCCCTATGACTATGAGTAAGTCAGTTTGTGGTCCACAAGTCACTGGATTTTCTGGAGTCAGCCCTCGCGCTATATAGCTGAAAAAATACCGATGCGGTGTTAAATTTTAACTCACTCACTCTAGAACCAGCAGCCATAGCCATTGTTTAAAGGTAGTCATCGACGGTACATTCTATGCAATGCTTCATCTAACAACGAGGCTTACATTGTGGTGCTATTTGTAGCATCACTGTGTTTTTCCGAGCCCTTTGGCCTCGC